GGTAATAAAGGAAATGCAGTAGTGTCTAAAGCAGGTCCCATCGGGTCGATTTTGTTCCCTGAGGTTCATACAGCACGAAATTCTTGGAATTTTTCAACGAACGCACCTTCAGCTTGCAAGCTTAGAAGATAGTAAAGGAAATGCAGTGTATTTGAAATAGCTTGTTTAGAGTGGATAACAAATTACAACTGTATTTTATATTTTTATTGCACTCGACCATTTTCTTCGAAGATTTTCTGACACAAAGCTGATGATATTTTAAATATAGAACAGTAAATGTAATACATACATAATCCAATAACACATAGAATTATTTAATTCCATACTTCGCATACAATACGTTAAATTTAATATATTATTATATTATTATCTTGTATTATATATTATTATATTTTATATTATTATAATAATATATTATTACTATTACTTTAATATATTATTATTAATATAAATTTATGTGATTAATATAAATCACATACGATATCTTAAATTTAATATATTATATTATTATATTGTATTATGTGTTATTATATTTGATATTATTATATTAGTATATTATTACTATTACTTTAATATATTATTATTAATATAAATTAGGATATCTTAAATTTAATATATTAATTAATATCGGTCTTAATAATTAGAACGAATATAAAATAATTAGAGCGTTAGAAATCTTTTATATAATTCGTAGTATTACTTACTTTATAAGTATAACTTATATATTCATGAGTATAACTTATGAAGTATGTATTATATTTCTCATAAATAATTTCGTTTCCTATTTGACTTTATACAAAATTCTCTATCACACTCAGCTGATTTATTTATCAAAATTCCTCATTATAAATACATTCCAAAAAAATTCTAATAAATAAAATAAATAAATAAAACAAATTCTAAAATAAACTCTAAACACCAATTACTCTATTCTCTATTTTAAAAACACCATCGTCGTTCGACTAATCCATAAAGTGTATTCGAGAAAGTTAGATTTACATTTTTCATTGAAATAAAATTATAGAATGAACGTCATCAGAAACAAGGTAAGCTAAAAATGGGTGTAGAACTATAAATACCATGAAAAATATTCACGAAGTGGACGGTAAACATGTTTGGAACGTGAAAAAGAGTCCGAGGTGTTTTTCGAAATTTCAAAATGATGATTTTGACCTTTCCCATGAACCCGAGTCCAATCGACCAAACAGACTCGATGTGCAAGAATTGAATTGGCAAAAAGATATCAGAGAGATTAACCTAACAACAATATCACATATTTTCCACACACATGACTTTTTCAACAAATCGGAAAAAAAGGAAATTTTGGAAATATATTTCACGCGAACTGTCGATGGCGAAGTAAATTATAAAGTATTTATACCTTATTCATTTTGTTTGAAAATTTTAATTGTAAATATCATTAAATTTCGCCTGATTAAATAGTCACTCACAAAAGTACTCGAATTTTTAATATATATATAAATACATACGTTTTGGAAATAATATTATACCTATAATTAGGCAGAAATGTCAATAATGTGTAAGAAAAATTACGAAAAAATTGGGTAACAAAAATATTTGAAAGCATAAATACTTCCCTTATTAATTTATGTTAATACATAGTTATATTAATATAAGAGACATTAGGTAATTAGAAATTTTTGATTTTTGTTTTAAACTTTACGAGTTTGTTGAGGATTTCAGAAGATACTGCAAATAATTTTTGTGTCGACTATAATTCAGTCCTTTAGGATGAAAATATCCCTTATATATACGACATTTAGTTATTTTACAATTCGTCTATACATATATATTTTTGTGTATATGTTTGAAAGTACAATAAATATCACAACATTTTTAAAATGAAAATATAATAGCTTTTTATACTTAAACGAAAAATTATTATTTAAATAAGAAATAGGATAACACTCAAATACACATAAGAGTTCCAATTCGTCTCTGTATATTTAAAACTACAATAAATATAACATCATTTTTAAAATGAAAATTGTCTTTTATATTTAAATAAAAAATTATTATTATCTGCATTATTATTTAAATAAAAAATGTAATAACATCTTAATACACATAAGGGTACCAATTCATCTATATATATTTAAAACTACAACAGATATAACAACATTTTTAAAATGTAAATAGCTTTCTATATTTAAATAAAAAATTACTATTATTTGCATAATTATTTAAATAAAAAATAGAGTAGCACCTGAATACACATAAGAGTACCAATTCGTCTATATATATTTAAAACTACAACAGATATAACAACATTTTTAAAATGTAAATAGCTTTCTATATTTAAATAAAAATGTTTATTATTTAAATTATTATTTAAACAAAAAATAGGATAAGACGTAAATATACATAATAGTTATTTTTCTACTATAAAGACTGGATTGTAATCGATAAAAAAATAATCCATAACGTCTTCCTAACGATTCAAAAAATTTCAAGAAGCTCAGAATTTTCTTTCTGTAATTGATCACTTGTTAGTTGGACTGCCTTTAATAAAAATCACGATGTTTTATTTGTAAATAAATTAATTGTTAAATAATTCCTCGATTTCCACGAACAGTATGTCGACGTTTAAAATTTCGCTGATATTGCTGGTCGGATTTCTGTGAAATTTCAGCAACACTTTCCCAACGCTCGTGTCTTATGTCGGGTGTAATATTATTATTCGAGGTTTCTCGTTTGACGTGTATATTTTATTTGTTTCAATTTTGAAATGCGAGCGTGCGAATATTTTCGTGTGCGACTGTAGATAGTGCCCCAAAACAGAAGTCACTTTCGAAAGATCGTGTCGTGTGTAGGATGTCAGGTGTGTAATACACGATAATCACTTATTGTTAGATCGAAATCATGCTCCACCGGGAGACTTCTGAAACGATGTAACTGTTCAAAAAAATCGTCACGAAAATTATTAATCGATTAATAAACACGTACAATTACTTTCGATGTTGATTTCCGAGATAGAGACGTAATTATATACAGGGTGTCCCATTTAAAATCTCGTAATAAAGTGATTT